TCCTTACAATGTTTATCTCCAGCAGACTCCAGCAGTTCCAAGCCAAATTGATGTTACTACAAGGGTGGAAGCTGGTTTCAGATGTGGAACACCCCAACTTAGATCAGGTAGAAAGAGACTTCTGCTCTGCTAGGCAGGCCTACACCCATGCACAGCAGGAAGAAGTTACAGAAGAAAGAGAACTTAACCCCAATTCCCAAGAAGTATCTTGAGTATGAAGTCTCTCAGCAGGGAGTTGTTAGGGGAAGCACACAGACTGAAACCGCCCACCTGGTTTGCATGGGTTGTTTTACGACAGGAGGTCCTGGTAAGGAATATAGAACTAATCAGCGACCACCAACCAGAAGAGTTCAGGAAAGGCCAAAAGGAGACACCACGTGTCCATCCACCTCCCAGAATCCCTCTCGCTAGCATCCATCTTGGCTGAGCGATGTGTGTGCCACCAGGAAGGACCCTGAGTCAGATTGATTGGCCAAAGATCACCCAGAAACTAATCCCATCACCATAAAACTGGAGACTGGGAGCCACGTGGCAGAGCAGTTCTCCTGGGTTCCCCTAGCTACTGCTCTCCGCCTGGGGGGCCTACTTCCAATAAAGTCTCTTGCTTTCTCGGCACATGTGTCCTCAGATAATTCTTTTCCGAGTGTTAGACAAGAGCCTGCTCTTGGGGCCCTGGAGGCCCCCCCTCCTACAACAGAAATATAACTATTAAAGGATAGTAGAGAAGTGAAAACTATTATATATTTTCTCCATTCTAATGGATTAGAAGTGTTTCTAAGAAGGAACCACTGAGCTTCAAATTATCCTTAAAATGTCTGATTCAGTGCTTAAAAATTAAACTGTATTTGGATATTTTCAAAATTGTAAAAAAGAATAGTAGCACAATAAACTCCTTTATCTTCTACCGATCCACAATATTTTAACATTTTTCTACTCTGCTTTACCATTTTATCCATCTGTCTGCTTTCTCTCTCTCATACATGGGCACTCATATATGTATATAATTATATATTTTCTTTCTCCTGTTTTATATTCTAAATAGAAACATCAAAAACAATATGACTAGATCAAGATGAACTATAAACAGTTTAAGTAACTTACAGCATTCAAGAAACAGTGATAACAAAAGAAGATATAAAATAAGAGAAAATATTGCAATTGAATGAAAATATTGAAATATTTCAAAATTTTGAAAAGTGCTAACATATCAATGATGATATTAAATGTAAATTGTATCAATCAAAAAAAGTAATTGGCAGAGTAACTGTATTAACATCACCAACTATATGCTGCTTATTCTCACTTCAAAAGCAGTACATAGGTGGCTTTAAAGTAGAGAAAAAAAGATATGTGTTTGCAGCAAACAACAGAGCCTAAAGTACATGGAGAAAAACCTGATAGAACTGAAAAGAGAATAGGAGTTTTGACAATGCTTATCTCAACAGCTGATAGAAATATCAGATATTACATTAAAATAAATAATTGAGACGAAATGGAACAATTCCTCAAATACAAAGTATGTAATTCAATTAAGATGAAAATGAAGAATTGAAATGATCCTATGACCATCCAAGAAGTTGAATTTGTAATTTAAATTCATCTTCATCCAAAAATATCTTATATGCCAGAGTATTCAAACGTAATCTAAATATTCCATATCCTGACTGTATCAATGTCAATATCCTGTAATAATGTACTGTAGTTTTGCAATGTGTGACCATTAGGAGAAAGTGAATAAAAGATACATGTGATCTCAGAATTATATTTTAACTTCAAGTGGATAAACAATTATTTTTTTTTAAATTAACAAACTAGATGAAACTCAAAGTTCACTTCTTCAGTCACAGTATCTGTATTTCAAGCACTTAATAGCCATATATATGCTACTTAGAGCTGCCATAATCAACTATCAAAAATTCTGTTAGAGGTAAACAGTTGTACTATTGAACCGGTGTATTTTTAGATCTAATAAAAGCCTTTTTTAACTTCCATTTTAGTCAGTGGAAGTTTACAGTTAATGAAGTTTTGGCATTAAGTGAAAATTCTTAAAACTATAAGTTCCCTTCATTTTAATCTAGGACATATGATTCCTGAACTCTCACAGAAATTTTCTATTATATTAATCTTATTAACTTTTGCTTCACCAGACATATACTTTTCAATCCATTAATCAATTAAGCAAATAGACAGTTAACACATTTTCTAAAACACTTATTCAAATTACTAACAACAGAGTATTAAAAAGCTAAATTTTATAAGCAGTGGTAAAAATATACTTTATTTACATGGATAAAGAATCAAATATTTACAGTGCTCTCATGCATCAGTTATTTTATATAGTTTTTAAATTCTTCTGTGTAACTTAACTAAAGCCAATAGTTTAATTTCATATAAAAATGTGAAAGCTCAATTTCAGAGACATCAAATAAGATATACAAACTGACTGATTAATAAAATGCAATATTTTCTTCAAATGAAAACAAAAGTATAAATAGTTCAAGTATGTTTAGATATATTAGGAATTTTTGAACTAAAAGCAGTCTCACTCCATTATTTTCAGATTTTAAAAATAAACATTTTCCAAATTGTTTTATATTCCTAGTTAATTTAGTTTAAATCTAGGCTGAATAGTTTTCACCATTAGTTGGTTACATTTTGAAAGTTCATAATGAAAAGCCAGACCACCTGATCTGCCTCTTGAGCAATCTGTATGCAGATCAGGAAGCAACAGTTAGAACTGGTCATGGAACAACAGACTGGTTCCAAATAGGAAAAGGAGTACGTCAAGGCTATATATTGTCACCCTGCTTATTTAACTTATATGCAGAGTACACCATGAGAAATGCTGGGCTGGAATAAGCACAAGCTGGAATCAAGATTGCCAGGAGAAATATAAATAACCTCAGATACACAGATGACACCACCCTTATTGCAGAAAGTGAAGAAGAACTAAAAAGCCTCTGGATGAAAGTGAAAGAGGAGAGTGAAAAAGTTGGCTTAAAGCTCAACATTCAGAAAACTAAGATCATGGCATCTGGGACCATCACTTCATGGCAAATAGATGGGGAAACAGTGGCTGACTTTACTTTGGGGGGCTCCAAAATCACTGCGGATGGTGACTGCAGCCATGAAATTAAAAGACGCTTACTCCCTGGAAGGAGTTATGACCAACCTAGACAGCATATTTAAAAGCAGAGACATTACTTTGTCAACAAAGGTCCGTCTAGTCAAGGCTATAGTTTTTCCAGTAGTCATGTATGGATGTGAGAGGTGGACTATAAAGAAAGCTGAGTGCCAAAGAATTGATGCTTTTGAACTGTGGTGTTGGAAAAGACTCTTGACAGTCCCTTGGACTGCAAGGAGATCCAACCGGTCCATCCTAAAGGAAATCAGTCCTGAATATTCATTGGAAGGACTGATGTTGAAGCTGAAACTCCAATACTTTGGCCACCTGATGCGAAGAGCTGACTCATTTGAAAAGACCCTGATGCTGGGAAAGATTGATGGCAGGAGAAGAAGAGGATAACAGAGGATGAGATGGTTGGATGGCATCACCGACCCAATGGACATGAGTTTGGGTAAACGCCGGGAATTGGTGATGGACAGGGAGGCCTGGCGTGCTGTGGTCCATGGGGTTGCAGAGGGTCGGACACAACTGAGCGACTGAAGTGAACTGAACTGAATGAAAAGCTAAGGCGGTTTTAGGGATTTGGAATGTATACATATATATAAGGCTTCCCTTGTGGCTCAGCTTGTAAAGAATCTGCCTACAATCCAGGAGACCTGGGTTCTATCCCTCGGCTGGAAAGATCCCCTGGAGAAGGGAAAGGCTACCCACTCCTGTATTCTAGCCTAGAGAATTCCAGCTACTTTTGCTTTTACATTTATATATATATTATCCTTATACATTTGTCTATGGACATTGTGCTTTATCGCTCAGTCATGTCTGACTCTTTGTGACCTCATGGACTCTAGTCATGGGGATTCTTCAGGCAAGAATACTGGAATTGGTTACCATGCCCTCCTCCAGGGGATCTTCCCAACCCAGGGATTGAACCTAGGTCTCCCACATTGCAGATAGTTTCTTTATCATCTTAGCCACCAGGGAAGCCCTTAAATATAAGATATTAAGTTTAAGATATTATATTTTAAAATATTTGATATCTTAAATATAAGATATTATCCTTACACATTTGGTCCATGGACATTATCTAAATATAATTTTTCTTGCAACTAACAAGTTTTACTCTTCAATTTTTGATTTAAAACTGTCTTTCTCCCTTGAGTTGCAGCTCCTTTGTCAGTTAGCTGTAAAGTCAATTTCATCCTACTGTTCCTTTCACCTTTGCTTATGGGCACAGGTTGCCCAAGAAATGGGCATCTAACATTAAAATGAAGGAGGAGGAACTACTATGCCTTGGGGCTTAGAGTCACCACAGTGTTAGAATTGCTTTGAGCTAACATTTATAACCTGAAAAAACCAATATTTTGCTTTCATAAAATAGTGTCTAAAATGGATAATACCTAAAAGTATAAAAAGTTTTCTGGCAAGAGACATTACATGGAATTAGACTGATTTTAAAAATGTTCAGTAATTTCCTGTTACATTGGCTATGTTTACACTAGAACTAGAAAAATTCCAAGTTAATAATTTAGACATTTTCTTTTCCCCAGGAAAGATTTTAAACATCTTTTAAATAACATGCTTCACTTTCTTACAGTTCAACAAAGCGTCAAAACACTTATATATTATGAAATATTTTTGTCCTCTCAAGACTAGGCCTCTGACATTATATATGGAAATAAAATTTTAAGAAAATGTAGACTTAATTTTTTTTTCAATTTTTTGTTTTAAAGAACATGCATTCACGTTTAATCTAGTATGGCTTGGGTTACAGGTAGCAGAAAATTGCTCTGGCTCATACAATAAAGAAGGTTAACCAGCAGACTTAATTGAAAAAGTCTACATGTTAAAGAGATGGCTGCTGATGTTCAGTCAGTCAACGCTTCAATTCTTTTTTCCTCAACTCCCTCAGCTCTGTCCCCCAACCTTCCCTTGCATCCTCAGTCTTAGTCCAGCAGTAAAATGATTGCAGCTTTTCAGGTAAACATGACATTATCAAGAGAAAAAGCTTTCTCTTGCAGAAACAATATCTTAATAGAAAATAAAGAATCCAAATCTCTTTAGAATACTTCTCGTATCTCAGCGACCTGAACTGGACACAAAATTTTCCAGAAATAGTTTCCTGTTCAGTGTAATTCTGTTCTCCAGTTATCTTCATTCTAGGTTCCTTGACTAGCAAAGTGATGGTCTTACCCTTAACAATCAGGTCGCTTTCTCTCTGGAAATGGTGACGTGGCCTATGGGCCAAAGTGTACATAACATAATGGAATCTGGGGAGCCTGTTGGGCTGTGAAGAAAGCTGAGTGCCAAAAAATTGATGCTTTTGAACTGTGGTGTTGGAGAAGACTCTTGAGATTCCCTTGGACTGCAGGGAGATCCAACCAGTCCATCCTAAAGGAGATCAGTCCTGGGTGTTCATTGGAAGGACTGATGCTGAAGCTGAAACTCCAATACTTTGGCCACCTCATGCGAAGAGTTGACTCATTGGAAAAGCCCCTGATGCTGGGAGGGATTGGGGGCAGGAGGAGAAGGGGACAGCAGAGGATGAGATGGCTGGATGGCATCACCGACTCGATGGGCATGGGTTTGAGTAAACTCCGGGAGTTGGTGATGGACAGGGAGGCCTGGCGTGCTGCAACAAAGAGTCGGACACGACTGAGTGACTGAACTGAACTGAGCTGAAAGTGGGAAATGCACACCGTGGATGGAGGCAACCAAAATGTCTATTAGAATTTCAATAATTAAAACCATTGATCAGAAGTATCAGAATATTTTTTTTTGAAAGATAAAACTTTTGATTGAATTATCCCAGGACATTTAGTGATTGGTCACTGGATTTGAATGTCAGAGCTAATAAACCTGAATTCTTGTCCAAGATTGTAAACCAAGTAGCTTTGTCTCCTTCTCCTCCTCATTACATTGGCATTTCAGAATTCCTATTCTGTAAATAAAGGTGCTAGACACCCTTAGGGAAATTAAATAGTCTTGTTTAGGCTTCAGAGACAAAGCAGAGCAGGCCTCTGACCTTGCTTCTCACCGACCTGAACACTGCCCTAACTGTGAGCGATTGTGAATGACTGACTGTTGTGAGTGCCAGACTTGTAGCACCATAGATAAGGTAGGGGACAAATCTTGAGATTGTTGAGCCCTTGGAGCCCTGGAGCCACTGAAGGCCCAGTCTTAACAACATTCCAAGTTTTACAGGACAAGACACACAGTATTAGCATGAAACCAGAGCTGTGATCTGCCCACAGATTGATGATGCTATCAGTCTGGGTCCAATGATTACAAGCAGGAACCCCAACTGCAATTAAAGTCTCACCCACAAAGCCTGGGACCTTTTCCCAACTAGGACTCCAGATGTGCTGTGTCACAACGTTTTCCTGTGCTGTTTGAGTCTGGACATTGGTCAAAACCCACTTTGGTGATGTATCCTCTGCTGTTTCTATTTCTCTTTTAATGCTAGTATATTGAAAGTAAGCTATATAATTCTCTAATAAATATTGGTATTATTTATTTGTGTACGAGTGGCTTATTTTGTTAACAAATCCTTTGAACCTGAGACAAAAGTGAAAGCTTTTGGCAAAATACCATCTTCAAAGTAAAACAATATATAGTTCTCAATCTTTTGAACATTCTGAAAGCAATTGCAGACAAGAATAAGACAATAAAATTCCATACCTAATAAATCTAATAACACGTAATAGGTACACTACAACATATATAAACAAAGGCTGCTAACTGCATTGCAATATGGCTGAGTTAAGGAAAGGGAGTAAATGATGATGTTGATCTTAGGCAAGCTCGCAGAGGTATTAGTTTTACGGAATAGATTGCCTACTCAAGGATAAAGCCAAAGATTCCTTGTTTGGTGTGATAAAAGCCAAATGTTTGTTTGGGCTGGCTACAGAAATTTCTCTGAAACTATTTGCCACTGCAAAATGACAGTGAATATTGTGATAAAGGAAGATATATGTACATACACACAGCCAAATGGCAGTCAATATGGTGCTCAGTGAAGCTGTATGTACACTGCAAGCCACATGTATACTCATTTCTTTGCAGGTTTTGTGTACACTTTTTTTTTTTTTTTTTTGCTTTAGGTATGACAGGTAAAGAAAAAAGCATATAAGATAATCAGCATTATAGTGACTATACTTAATCAGTTAAAGATACGTAAAGGCATATTATTAACACACACTCTGAGGGAGATTTTGTGTTATCTATATTCAGAATGGTGGTGAGAAATATTTCCACAGATAAATCAACTATTTTTGAAGCACATTAAATAATTTCAAGAAAATCAGAGAAGATAATTAATAGCTAGAAAACAACCATAAGTGAAAAAGTTGAATGCTGTATTTAAAAAATAAGTACAGTGTAACAAGAGAGGATCTCATTTTACTGCTTCAGCATAGACTATTCTATGCAGTACCATATACCAAATAATAAAAGATTAAATATATAAACCCAAAATTGCTGATAATCTATTAATTTATGGCAGTAAAAAAATGAGAGTGTATATTAGTTGCAGATTATATAGGCAATGAATAAATATAGTATATAATCAGAATCCAAATAAAATCTTAAATAGCAAAGCTTTGCATCCTGTACTACTCTATTACATATACAATTTAATTTCTAGATCTACTATCACTATTATTTTATTCACATACACATATGTGATCTGTGCAATAGTATGATGCATATGCACTTGTATGTATATTTGTATGCTTATGTGTACATCATGTACATAATTATGTACATGATAAACACAGGGCCCCAAGTGATGCATAAATGAATCCCTCAAGTAAAAAAATTTTAAGGAGATATTTAAGCCACTGTTCAAATGAATAATATATAAACTAAAAATGTTAACTATTTGAAAACAGTGAGATGTTCATCAATAATGAAGTCCATAATCCAAAAAGCAATGCTGTAATACTTAAAAATAGTGAGACATCAACTTACTGATATTTATGAGCTTTACAAATGATACTAAATATTTCCAGTTTTTAAATAAAAAATGAAACGTATATAATGCATGCAAGTTAGAGAACAATAAACCTTTGTAAAACCATAAGATGGATCTAATATATACTAGAAAACATAACTGAATTGTAAAAAGAACATTACAGAGAATTATAATCTCAAGTAGTTTAAGCATACTACAGTTAGCAAATATATCAAATGGAAAAAGAGACAATAGCAAAACAGAAGGATGTAAACAAACCATGAAAAATATTAAATATGTCAAATATCTGAAAATCTAAAAGAAGTAATACTTCTCTAAGAAAACATAAATGTTTATATTAACACCAAAAAAATAAATTTTGACCAAGAAACACTTACCCAAGTATTTCCCAAAGTGTCCTGATTGTAGGAGTCTTCTGGCATACCTGTTACAAATCTCCTGGAGATCCTGACCTAGAAAGGAAGATGGAACTTTGGAATCAGTATTTTCAACAAACACCCTGCTGAATATTCTGATCAAGACTGTTAGTAAATCCAGTCTAAATAAAGCTGTGAGATCTAGAGTTCATTACAGATGAATTCAACATTTTCCCTAACTATATTTCACAGGTTGAAAAGATGAAAACTTCCACTGTTTTGTGAGACTATCAATTCTGTTATCAGTATATGTCAGCACGTAAAGAAAAGATAAAGCAAACTAAAAAACACAAAGATTTGCTGACCTTTTGTAACTTGTGCCTGAGTAAAACACTTCTGACACTAGCTTTAGAAATATTAGAATATATTGTTTAATATAAGACTGACCCCAAAACAAAAACCAAGGGAAGAAGAGAAAGGAATTAATGAAACCAGAAAATAATATCTAGAAACTATTCTTTAGACAAGATGGTCCTTGCTCCAGTAGCTGGAGTTTGCATTTGCTAAGGGAATTTGGGGAGGGAATTTCTCAGCCATCCAAGTGGTTAGGACTTTGTGCTTCTCTCTCACAGAAAGAAAAGAAAAAGAAAGAAATGTGGGTAAAGGAAAATACACCACATTGCATCTAAGGTAGCTTCAGTGAGATGCCTTAATATTAACAAAGGAAGATACCAAAGTAAAGACAGATTAAGCCAGTTTTCATATTATATTTGAAGAACATGTAAAGCATGAAAAGTTCATATCTGGAGCATAGATCAATCTAAGTATATATTTTTTTAATTAAAAAATGTCCTTATTTTGGTTTTCACAATACAGAGAAAGAAATGTAATGGGAATAATTTTTAAAAGCTTTAATATATTGGGGAAGAAATCTCCTTTATGACTTTAGAGAAATTTTTTTTTTAATTATTATTTTCTAAAATTAGATTAGTACTAATGGCAAATGGGTAATTATTGTGCCATCATAGGGCTTCAAGATATTTTTTTCCCCCCCTGTACTGGTTACATAAACACATACACAAACCAGTAAATACCTTGACTTGACTAACTGCTTATTGTGACAGTTTTCTCTAGCTTTTAAAACTTAGTTGATTTCTTTCTAGTATGAAGACACATTTTCACCTCATTTCCCTTCCATGAGAAGGACATGTAGGCCTGAATATTTCTTTGTCCATTTTGTCCCATCATATCCTAATCACACTCTTTGATCCAAATATCACTACATGTAGAAAAATCCTTATGACAGTTATTATTTAGGTTTATATATGGTAGAATGGATGCAACGTGTTCGTGCTCTTAGAGAAATAAACCATAACTTGGTTTACGAAAAGGTATCTGGACTTCAAAGAAGGACTATTACTGAAGGTGTTTTCAAATATTGTACCATAAAATAAGGATGAAGTTTTATGTTACATGCCTCTAAAACTACATTATGTAGAAAGAATATTTTTATATAACATGTGCATACACATGCATTTAATGGAGCTTTAACAATAAGAGATAAAATAATATTAGAAATTATTTGGAAATTTATAATTTCTCTAGAATATAAAGCTTAGTGTCTATTTTCATATTTTCATAGTGTTTGTCACTCAGTCATGTCTGACTCTTTGTGACCCCTTGGGGACTTAGCCCACCAGGCTCTTCTGTCCAGGGGATTCTCCAGGCAAGAATACTGGAGTGGATAGCTATTCCTTTCTCCAGAGGATCTTCCAGACCTAGAGATCGACCTGGGTCTCCTGTATTGCAGGCAGATTCTTTACCATCTGAACCGCCAGGGAATCCCCATATTTTCATAGATTGGTTTGATAATTCAGTGCTTTTGTAGCCATCAAAACAAACATTTGGAAAAGTTTATGGGAATTA